ACTCGATCCCGGGACTCCAGGATCATGACCTGAGCCGAAGGCAGCCGCTTAACCAACTGAGCCACCCAGGCGCCCCGGGATTCAGATTTTTGAGTACCCATTATGTCTTTTATTTTAGCTCCTTTTTTGTAAAGATAATATTGATTTCACTGTTTAGGGTTTGTCAGAAGATTACTTTGGGCCAGAGATGACAGACTGAAGCATAAGCCATCTGCAAGTGTGTTATCAAATCCCGGCCCTCTCAGCCACATAGACACAGGCACACCACACATCTTCTCGAGCCTTGGTTTTTATCACCTAAACAGGGGTGTGCTGAGCTTATTAGGAGGAATAAATTTTATAAATAAAATGAATTAAATAAATAAATCAGCTAGGTGCCTGGCACATTATAGGTGTTGTACAAAAAAGCATTGTTATCGTTGATCATACTATTTACAATAAAATATTTTTAATTTTATTTTGTTAATTGCGAAAATTGCTGTCAATTTTTTTTTTTTTTTTAAGACATTTATTTGAGAGAGAGAGAGAGAGAAAACGAGTGGTGGGGAGGGGCAGAGGGGGCGCACGCAAGAGAAGCAGACTCCCAGCTGACCAGGGAGCCTGATGCGGGGCTCCATCCCAGGACCCCGGGATCATGACCTGAGCCGAAGGCAGACGCTTAACCGACTGTCGTTTTTTTTGTTGATCAGTGAAACCTCCCACGTTTTTCATTGGGAATAGTAATTCATTTTCCAGATTTCTTTTTATGCACACCATTCCACATTTAGCACTCCTGTTTTCTTCATTGATTTTGAGTCCTTGTCATCAGGAGAGTGAGTGAGCAGATTACACTGATGTGTCATGTGGTGTAAGTGCCCGAAGGATCTAAACCAAGAGATGCTGTTGCTCTTAAGGGAGAGATTGTTAATCCCAGTCCGTACTCTCATTTTATATTTTCTTCGTCCTCCACATTTCTGTAGAGCTAAAGACAAAGCGGGGTACTCTGTAAGTTCTCGTCGGCCCGTTGTTTGATACTTTAACACGAGACTGTGGGGTCACTTGTTTCCCACTGTTGTTTGATAGATCATATTTTGGAAAGATTGCTGATCCCTTGATCAGTATGGTTTATAAAATTGTCTTAAATCATTCTTCCTATTAACATAGACCAAGGCTCTTGTCAGTTACGCATGTAATTTACAAATAAAATTCACCCAAAAGGGGGGTTTTCTTTTTCTCCTGCAAGGAGAAGCCTGGGTGGGCATTCCAGCATTGGTGCAGTGGCTCAGCTGTGCCTGGAGAGAAAACTGAGGGACCCTTCTCCTCCTCCCTGGGCGTCTGGGGAGCTGGACTACCATGACAGCCCCCCAGCGCGAGTGTCTCCAGAGAAACAGGCACAGCTGCGAGGTCCTCCTGGCGGAGCCTGGAGCCTTGGGGCTCACACGGGCCGACGTGTGCTGCGTTGCCAGCCCAGGGTCAAGGGAGGGAGGTGTACTGTGCTCGATGGGAGGAGGGTGAGGAATTTGAGGCCCTGCCTTATAAGTGCCACAGCGGTAAATAGATCACTAGGCAGTCCCTAGTACTGAGTTCTGTGTGACATAGAGCGTGGGTGAAAATTGAATGCTTGCATGCTTTTATATATCTAGTTCCACATATTAGGCATTTCTATTTAAAATAAGTTAGGTTTATCTATAGAACTATGTTGGAATTAAATTGGTTACTAAAATAGTAATTTATATACACCTAATGATGGACAGCAAGTCCTATTATATGGCACAACATTTTTCATGTGTTTTTTCCCCTAGAGTTAGCCTCCATTTTTACTGGTTTATCCAAGGTTGCAGTTTTTCTCTTCTTATGACATACTTGAATCATACAGATAGGTACGGGGAATAGTAATAATACATGTGCATGTACCTAACGCTCTGATTTAGCAACTAGTTTTGCTGTATTCAAATATTTTTAAAACCTTGATTTTACTTTTATCAAATTAATAAAAATTCATTGTTGAAAATGTCAAGTAGTGCCAAAGACTTAAAACAAAAAGCAGGCACTCTGTCCCTTCTGTTGTTTACCTTCACCATTTGTAAATAATACGAGTAGACAGATTTCTCTTGAATCTGACAGTGCTGAACCAAGGAAGGCAGGGCGATGACTTTCTCTCTCTCTCTCTTTTTTTTTTTTTTGTTTATTTGTTTTTCCTGGAGTTAAGAGATTTCTCAATTTTTTTTCTATTTGCTTAAATTTCTTTGCAGCTTGAAGTCTCTTGAACAGTCCTCACAGCTTTATAGACCTGTTAGTGTAATATGCCACGTGGCAGACACCATAGATGGCCCATCTGTCCGCGGCTCCTTGGGGACTCTTCTAGTGCTTTCGGCCCTGTTCTCTGAGCTGCGTCCTACAGCCCCACAGCCATGCTGTCATCCTTGGAATTCCTGTTTCCTCTCTGTAGCTGGATTCTCCTTGTTTCTGGTTGCCATGCCCTCCCTATTTCGGTGTGCACTCTTGCCTAGGAAAAGCTTGTACAGCGTCAAGAAGCTTCCAGAGCAGATGGTGAATGAGTTGATGGTTAAAGTGACAAGTGGAGGGGTGCCTGGGTGACTCAGTCGGTTAAGTGTCTGCCTTTAGCTCAGGTCGTGATCCTGGGGTCCTGGGTTTGAGCCCCTCGTCAGGCTCCCTGCTCAGTGGAGGGCCTGCTTCTCCCTCTCCTCTGCCCCATCCTTCCCCCACTCCCCGCCCCTGCCACTCATGCTCTCTCTCAAATAAATAAATAAATAAAAATCTTTAAAGTGGTAAGTGGAATGTGTGGTCGGTAATATTCTCTACTTTTCTGCCCGTTTGAAGTTGTCTCTGATACAGTTTTCCAAAAGTGCACCTAGATGAGGTTCTTTTTGAAACCTTGCATCAATATTGTCTCCATTCTTTTCTCCTGCTCAGTCTTCAGTGGGGCAAAAGGTTCTAAGTTGGAAATAACTTTTCATTCAGAATTCTCCAGGCATTGCTCCATTCCTTGTCTTTGAGACCCCAGTGTTGCTGTTTGGGGGAGTTGGATGCTGTTTCTGCATCTGGGTGTGTGTCCAGTGGTTTCTCCCTCCCCCCCTGAAAACTTCTGGGTTGGACTTTTCATATGCTGGGAAACATGACAGTGAGTGGCTGAATGGGTCTTTTTCACTCGGTGCTTGGGCTTTTCAGTGGTAGGTCCGTCCTTCCTTCTTTGGTGCTCATTTCCTCTTCTCCCTGGAATGCACGCTGCTGGGACATCTGCTTCTTAGGCTGGTCTTTCTGTTTTTTTTCCTAAACTTTTCCAATTACTCATTTCCATATTCTCATTCTTAGGAGGTTTACTGACTTTATTTTCCAACCTTTTAAGAAGATTTCTTTCTTTTTTTTTTTTTTAAAGATTTATTTATTTATTC